GCAAGTTCTAATAAATTCATTGTTGCCTAAGGAAGCACAGTTCTATGAACACTATTATACAGCAGCTAGTTCTGGTCTGTGAAATTGATTGGCCGAGTGTTGTTCCAAAAGCTGATACAGTCCAACAACACTGGGAAATTTGGTATCCCTCTGGGGCGCGTTTCCCAGAAGCAACTATGGTCGCAAATTTCGTCATTACCAATTGAGTTCAGTCGAACTGGAGACCATAGTTAGCTAATGATGCTTTTGGGAAATACACCCCTGCTTGTTTATATGGTAGCCCGTCACAGAAAATAAAAAAAATAATAATTGCAATGTTGTATCTCACAAAGTCTGAATTGTGAGATAAAAAGTCGTAATTATGTATTTGTTTATATTATTTTATTTTTATTTTTGAGATTTATCTTATAAGATGTGCAGGTTACGTTGTAACACTAGTAGGTGGCAACAAGTGATTCCCTTTATGAATTAATCACTGAGTCATTATTCAACCAATTCATTCAAAACACTGATTCAGTAAAGAACAAAACAACTGTCTTCTGTCTTTATGAGTGAGTCATTGAATCATCCACTCAACCGATTTGCTCAAAACCACTGATTCTTTTATTGACTTGTATAAAAGCAATATTACACAGTCTAAATAACTAAATATTAGCAAATTTGTGGCATCCGGAACAACAACACCCTTGCTGTGTGATATTAATTAGAACATATATAAAGGTGAAGTGTCTCCACCATTACATGTAAAAACAACTATAAAGCCATATTCGGACAGAATCAGTTTCACAAAGAGAGGTGGGGCAAAGTAATTATTACTGAAGCTACTAAGTGATTGTAGTCCCATCCGAATGTACCATCTCAGTAATCATTACAGACAATGTCAGTAAAGATTACAGTGACATTTACCTTTTGTAAAAAGTTCTGGAAAAATTACCTCAGGTAATGCTAATCCTGTGCAAATAGAGCAGCTGTAGATATATGCGTAAATATTCCATTATTTCCTGTTTAAATGTAGTTTTCCACAGTTTTTCTTGAAGAAGCATATAGTTGCGTTCTAAGTGGTGGAACAGGTCTGTGAGAAACCTAAAGTGTTTCCACATATGATGACGCATAGCATTCAGATGAAAAAGAAGGTTGAAAGTGCTTGTTAGAGGCACAAAACTCCTGTTGGCTTTAGTTAAATGACAATTACCAACAGAATGCAATCATTTAATTTATAAATCGTTCAGTGTGGCACATGATGACAGGGAGGTGATGGCAGTGCGTAAATCGAGTTATTCCTCCCACTTAGTTTTACTGAGATTTTTTATCCCGTGCGAATTGGCCATTAACATAGCAGACGTCCTGTGGTTAAATTATGTTACCCCATCTACCCTTGTAAAACTAATCCCATCCGAATAGGGCTTAAGTAAGGAATTTGTAGATTGATTTCCCTGAGAACTGTGGCAATATGAAGACATATATTTCTATAAACATTTGATTGGCTGAGTGTCATTCCAAAAGCTGATACAGTCCAACAACACTGGGAAATGTTGTATTGCTCTGGGGTACATTTCCCAAAAGCAACTATGGTCACAAGTTCCAGCCTTACCAAAAGAGTTCAATGAAACTTGAGACCATAGTTAGCTAACAATTCTTTTGGGAAAGGCGAAAATGAAAAATTTGCTAAAAAAAAAAAAAATTACTCATCCTGCAGGTCATCCAAGATGTTGTTTGTTTCTACATTGGGACAGATTTGGAGAAATGTAGCAGATCTTCTGCAATAAATGGGTGCTGTCAGAATGAGAGTCCAAAACGCTGATTAAAAACATCACAATAATCCACAAGTAATCCACAAGACTCCAGTCCATCAATTCATGTTTTGTGAAGTGAAAAGCTGTGTAATAAACAAATTAATTTTAAACCGCTTCCAGCTAAAATTTGCACATACTCACACACACATACTCACACACACACACATATATTTTTTATAGTACCTTCTGGTGATGTGTTTTTTTTTTTTTTTTTTGGTCACTTTCTTCACTGCGTACCAAGAGCTTTTCATCTTATGTGTGCACATACTCTGTATTATTTTGTGTCTTGCATTGTCCTTTCAGGTATGGTGACCAAACACACTCTCACACCCCCAGATTGCTTTTCTTGGGTAACGTGAAAGCAATGTATACACCTCCACTGAAGCGAATCAGACCCCATTCTTTTCATCTTCTTCTACCCCCTCTATCTTTTTCACTCACTCTCCCTGTTGTTGTATCACCACCTCTCTAACTGTAAGGCTGTTGTTCCCGTCTTTCTCTGCCTGGTGTTTTCAAGTTCCATTACGAAATGATGATGGCTCTGAGAGCCCATCTGAAGTGTGTCTCGCCGTTGGCTCAAAAGTTTGTTGGTTTTGTTTATCTTTTATTTTTCTTTCATCACAGCCTTATTTTTCTGTTCTCCAACTGCATTGCTCTTTGTGACCTGTTTGGCGAGGATGCAGACAGGAAGATATCAGCTCTGAATGCCAAGCACTGTGCTATGCCATTCTATAAAAATGTGTTTAAACATGTTCACACTATGTATATGTCCTGCTATTATCTGCTGCAGTCAAGCTGCTAATAACAGTATTTTTAAAACGGAGAGCCATGTGCATATTTTACCCATGTCTGCTGCTTTTCTCACATTATTGAAAGTATTCATGGTAGTTGCCAAAGAAATGATTCTGACCAAGCCACAGGAGTTCAAGACAGTGATTCTTTAAAGGCTTAGTTCTCAGAGAAATTAAGATTTCGTCATCATTTACTCACCAGTTCAAACAGTTCGTTTTTTTGGGAAACACAAAAGAAGACGTTTTGAAGAATCGCACTGGTCGCTTTTTTAATTACAGTGAATAGGGATTGAGGCCTTCAAGCTTCAAAAAGGACTCAAATCACCATAAAAATATCATACAAATAGCCCAAACAACTTGCATTTTATTCTAGTGATGACGAAACAAAGCTTTGTGTTGCACTGTGGCTTTTCAAAACAGTGTATTTTGATACTTTTGCTTTGGAAAAAGCAAATGAATTGCACTTAACAAAATACGGTGTCCCATTCTTCATGAACTTTTGATTTTATTTTGTTGTACAGAAATAAAAGTCACTTTCGAAGTTATTCAAATGAATGAACGGAATGAAACAAACTCATGAATACAATCTGTGCTCTACCCCAGTCTGTTATTTCGTAAGCAAGGTTATATAAAATATGAGCTATAATCATGTGTTTCTTGTGCAAATTAAGCTTTGGGTATCAAATCAAATGCTTTTAGGACAAACAAATAAAGCTTCGGTATGGTGCATCAATCTTCAAGTCATCTGAAGTCACACAAAATGTTATTGTGATGTAAATTTAGGTTGTTACTCTGATAATATCCCTCTTCACTGAAACACTAACCTCAGTGGTTTTATGTACTGGATTTATTTTAGAGACATATCTGACAACATAGTTGCTCGCAGCGCAGCTTCAGTTATAGGAAATGATGTGATTCATCTGCTTGTTTTGAATCAGTGAATTGCTCTGTTTACAGTTGGCGTTAACCCTTTTAGCTTTCACCATGTCGATAATGGTCTTATATTGAAGAAAATGGGTTCTGGATGAACATGCTGTGCACTATTGTGGATTTTTCACATAATCAGTTGACCAGCACCAAAACACTTTAGAATTTTTAAAGCGGAATCCACTTTAAGTGGAGTAGGAATCCATTTTGTGACCTTAGCATGACCATAACCACACTGTGACTAGCTTTTGTACATGGTAAGAAATGTCAAAAAAGACTTGCATTCTATAAAAATGAAAAACGCGCACACAAAAAAATTCTAGATAAAACCTGCAGAAACGGCAAATGTTTCGGTCACAAGTGACCTTGCTCAATGCCACCTTTTGGACATTAGAAGTGTGTATGACCTCTTTGTAAACTTTTCATTCGTACACACGAGGATGGTTGTATACATCTGGTAAATCTGTTTTGTAGTGCTGCTTGAAGAACACGGATTACACCACAGAGGTGTGATTACTGAGTGTGAGACTTCTTTCCCTCAGACACACACGTCTGCGCTCATACCCTCACCCACAAACGTCATACACGTCCTCTTTCAAACGGGCTTAAGCCTTTAGAGACGTGACCTTCAACTCCATTCCTTGAAAAAGTGAAGGATTTAACTATTTGAAATAAAATAAGTCTGAGAGGAAGAGGGACCAGGGGGACATGGTGAGGAGCATGACCTCTAAATGTGAGACTCCCTGTGTGTGTGGATGTCATGCACATGATTTCACTCCCTCTTAACTTTTTCAGACGAGTTTTTCGCAGTCGAATTCCTGTGATCTTTTGGCTGTCGGCAGTCTTGTGTATGAGAGAATGAAATGACCTGTGATCAACAATGTCTAATTTGAAAGATACAGAGAGTTGTTCTTGCGGAGCTCCCTCATGTCAGCAGGAGGAAATGTGTAGGACAAAGCATTGAATAATGAGCATTGAACTAGTAAACAATGTAAAGAGTAATGTACAGTCAGCTGGTCGTTATCGCCTAGGGGTGGCGTTGTCACAAAATAACATGTAGGCCTACATCATCCCTCTAATTACTTGACTACTCACCAAAGAAATAGATACTTGTGCATGAAATATTGATTTGAAGTAAAATTATTTTACCTGTAAAAAAGAAATAGTAGTTATAATGTACAAGACGAACATTGCAAGAATATTATAATAAAATTCAAACTGAAGACCACTGAGGTAATTTTCACTACCATTGATTTACTGAGATGAATATTTGTAAATACATGACAGGGGAATTCAGAATTTCAGAGCGTTGTGTAATTAAAGGATTAGTTCACTTCCAGAAAAATTTCCTGATCATTTTCTCACCCCCATGTCATCCAAGATGTTCATGTCTTTCTTTTGTTCAGTTGAAAAGAAATTAAGGTTTTTGAGGAAAACATTCCAGGATTTTTCTCCATATAGTAGACTTCAATGGCGATCAACAGGTTGAAGGTCCAAATTGCAGTTTCAAAGGGCTCTACAGATCCCAGCTGAGGAAAAAGGTTCTTATCTAGCGAAATGATGTCATTTTCTAAAAAAATAAAAATAAAAATATATACTTTTTAAGCACTTTTTAAGTCTTGCACTAGCTCTGCAATGCGCTTCTACGACTTCACGCATTACGTAATTACGTTGGAAAGGTCATGCGTGACATAGGCAGAAGTAGTACCGAACTCCATCTAATTTTCTCCTTCAACTTCAAAATCATCTGCCGTTGTTTTACCTTTTTTTTATGTAAAGGGCATTTGATTTCGTCTTTGCGTGTTCACTTTGTAAACACTGGGTCGGTGAAGTTGTGGACGTGCACCGCAAAGCTAGCATAAGACTAGCATTTGTGGTTAAAAAGTACATACATTTCTATTTTTTCAAGAAAATGACCGATCGTTTCGCTAGATAAGACTCTTATTTCTCGGCTGGGATTGTGTAGAGCCCTTTGAAGCTGCATTGAAACTGCAATTTGGACCTTCAATCCGTTAGCCACCATTGAAGTCCACTATACGGAGAAAAATCCTGGAATGTTTTCTCAAAAACCGTAATTTCTTTTTGACTGAAGAAAGAAAGACATGAACATCTTGGATGACATGAGGGTGAGTAAATTATCAGGAAGTTTTTATTCTGGAAGTGAACTAATCCTTTAAGTTCAACAGTGCCACTTTTTCAGCCTTGGCTATTAAAGTATTTCTCTAATCTGGATTTTTAAAAACATTACAAATATTTATTTGAAACAAAAACGTATTTGAAAATATGTCAAAAGACAAAGGTAAAAGACTGTACTTAACAGCTTTAATATACAAACAAGTATATGAATAGTTCTCTGCAGAATCATGAATAGTCTATGAAATAAATCACACATTATTTAAAAAATGATTGAAAAAAAAGAATGATTAATTTCAATGGTTCAACACAGCAGTGTTATTAAGTAGGAACGTGTGGACGAACATTTTTAAAGGCAGTAAACACTGTGAGATCGCATGATGTTCCTTTACAGCAGTAAGCAGGAAGACATGATGAAAGTGACTGCAGAGAGAGATTGAGCTCTACTCTGCATTTTTTGAAAAAGAATGAGAAGAGCAAACCTGGGGGTTGTGATGCATTGTGATAACCTTGGGTGAAAGAAAGGTAACTGATAAGAGACAGACATGAGTTTGGTTAGGTATGGGGCAGAGGACAATGTCCTTCCCTTGAGAAAATAAGATGTCTGAAATGGATAAGGCCTGCTCTTCAAATGAAAGAGAGAGTCCGTGGGAGGGCGAGAGAGAGAGAGCGATAAGGCATGGAGAAAATGTTCCAAAAGCCTGAGCGACATCTGTAACCCAGAGCTGATGACAGTGGGGGGGATAATCAGAAAAAAACACACATGAAGGACAGCTAAGTTCTTCTCTACAAAAGAGAGACCTTTGGACAAGCTGCTAGGAACACGCACTCACCCACACATGCAAAAGCATCCATGCTGATTTTCATAAGAGAAAAGACAAACTGTCAAGGGAAAGGACAGTGCCAAGTTGATCCATGTTTCCTCTGCTCATTAAAATATATCTAAAACATGTCATTTCCCTTATTAAATTGCTTCACACACACAGGCTCAAGAGGCTCTTGACCATCTGGGCAATGTTCACTAGTACGACCCAGCTAAAATGCCTAATCAGCCTTTGGGTCATTTGGAAAATATGGTGAATAACACGACCCTTGATCTTTCAGAAAGAAGCTAAATTAAATTATATAACCTAGTATTTCAGTAAATTATATTAAATACTTGACTATGAAACATGACATTTTCTGCATGTTTTAAATTATTTACCCAGTGCAAATGTAATAAAGCTTGTTTGTTTTTTATTTTTATGTATGTATTTATTATTTTGTGTATTCTAATAGGTAATTAATAATATAAATAATTTAGGAAGAATATTTGCCCCTTAGAATACTTGCCTCCTATTTTAATGCTTATTTTGAAAATAATGCAATTTCAGAGTTTAGAAGAGGCTGTTTAAATGCGAACATGTTATTAATTTACATTTTAAATAAATTTTTTACTCAGCCAACAGATAAAGTGCCACCAGCTCTAATTCAAAACCTAAAGGTACATTTTCTGACTTGCAAAATGTTCATGTTTTTTTTTGACCCCCTTTGATAAAAGGCTATCTTCTTTGTATGATACTTCAGTCTTTCAGATCACTCTCCCATGTTACATAAGCAAACATTCTGTCAGTGATGCAAAGCAGGATCCTCTGATTGCCACAGATGTGAGAGTCCATGCTGCTGGGGTTTGACTTTCACCTCTAATAACCGACAGTCGGACAGCACGTGCTGTGTTGTGTGTGCATGAGGGAGAGTGGGGGAAAAGCTTTTGCTGACTCGCAGGTCAGTGTGTGATCATAGGGCTCTTTACCTAGACCCCCGGGTTGTAATGGATGAAATGGCTTACAGACGCTGGGGGTCGGCACTAAAAAAGCAACAGACATAGTGGTTTGTTGGTGCATGTATGTGAGAAGAATATGCTTTCTTGACCTCCTGAGTGAGCCATGCCTTTTTATTTCATTTATTAGTGAAAAGTTAAAATAATGACGTAAATAATTTATTATTCTATTCAATAAATCTGAATTAATGTAAGCAGTTTATAGCTACATTTTAGGGTTGGGTTCTGTTCAGTGTAGATTAACTGCCAGATGGACATAAATTTGATAATCAGATTATAAAGTTTGAAATAATTTTCAACAGGCACATCTAATAACAATAATTAAAAAATATTTAATATAGTAACTTACGATCACTGTATAGAGCTCTGTACATCGCAGAAACATGAAAGCACAATGAAAACTGCTTTATGCTGCAGTGTTGCTTGTGTGTGCAGTGTGAAACAGATCAATGAGAAACTACTGTAAATATACATAATTTTACAGACAGAAGTTTGTAAGCACATTCACAATCACATATTACTGAACTGTTTGCAGCAAAATTCACAGCATTTCTTTAAAGTAACAAGGCAACACAGGCATGTTTGACCAGACAAGGACTGTCTCGGGGAGAGCTTTTTTCCCCCCTGAGAGTGCATTTAATAATGTCTCTGTGCTTTTGTAGCAAAACCCATGTGACCTTACACTGACCTGTTTATTTAACAGCAGCGACACAGATGCAAACAGTGCTTTTTTTTTTTTTTTGCTTTAAAAGATTTCCCTTCTAAAAAGAAATAATCAAAGAAACTATCAAAATCAAACGCTTACTAAAAATGATGAAATATTGTTTACCCATGGCCATGACCATTAACCAACACCAGAGGACTGTGAACATGAAAATTAGTTGTTAAGTTATTGAAATATAAATTTAAAATCTCAGGAATTTTTTGACTGACACAACTTTAAAGGGGTCATATGATGCGATTTAAATTTTTCCTTTCTATTTGAAGTGTTACAAGCTCTTGGTGCATAAAGAAGATCTGTAAAGTTGCAAAGACTAAAGTCTCAAATCCAAAGAGTCATAATGTTTTATTACATGGTAAAAAAAAAAAAAGGTTAATGAAATGGGATGTACTGATTTTGAAGAAATGTTTAATATAATATTAAGCTTAATCTTGCAGTTTACAATTATAGAAATACAAATCGTTTTAAAAAGTAATAGTTACAATTAATGAAATGTGTACTGTTGGAAAAAAATTGCTTTTTGATTCTTGCTGTGTACAATTGAGTATAAAAAGTAAAAAAAAATTCTTTTTTTTTCTTCTCCTTTTCAAAAGTAAAATTGCGCAATATATGCATTCTGTTATGACATTGTGATAGAGCTTATAACATCTGCTCCAGTGACAAGCCATTGTACCCCTGACGGTACAAATTTTGCACATTTTTTCTGACAGTGTAGATAGATAGATCTTTAACATTGTCAAACACACTTGTCTTGGCACAAAGCTATACTATAAAAACTTCACATTCAGTTAGATTTTGTAAAGGGCCACTCCAGTAATCGTAACTGCGATGGGCTCTGGCCCATTACAGAAGTGCGATCAGAGCCATGAGAGGGTGAAGTCGCCGGATGTCTCCTATGAAAAACTGTCATATAGCGACTTGCGCACTTGCTCCTATATATTATAGATGAGTGCTTAATAATTCATCGGGATTTTTGTTTCCGTGCGAAAAGGCGGAAAAGAGGCTCTATTAAATATGAAGATACGGTAATGAGGGTTAGGTGTTGTGTTGCCGTGGTAACGAGGGATCGCTGGGGTTAAAATCTCTCTGATGTTATCTGGCGCGCGCTCTCGCAGGACAGGCTGGTGACTGCGCGCGGAGGCGTACAGCTCTTGGTCAGCCTGGTCTGGCGTCTGATTCATACACTGACCAGTGGTGGACGAAGTACACAAATCAAGTACTTGAGTAAAAGTATAGATACGTATAATAAAATATTACTCCAGTACTTCCAAAAGAGGACATGACTAGAAATCAGTGGTTAAGTTGTATTTACAACACTGTTCCAGAACAGTTCAACCCAAATATTCAGATGTGTTCAGCGCATTTTATGGAGGACTGTTTACTGATCCTGGGAGAGTTACGTTAGACTAAAATGCCGGCAGTTCTGACTCACGTAAGTACGTTTTCATTTAAAGGATTTGCCACTGATGATTCAAACGCGAGTTTTGGGCAGTGTGGATTAACGTTAGCACTTGTTGTTTGTCATTTCTCTGATCACAAATGCAGACATGGTTTTATGTTTACGCGGCGCGATGCAACGCAACGCGTAAAAAGACAGTATACGTCATTATAATCAGTAATTATGTCCCTACTGGATGCAACAAATGCCTCGTTTGTGATGGGTTTTAATGTTTATGTCTCGTCGCTCCGGCCTGACACGGCATCAACAGTATGTGAGGGGCGTAACATTTGCGTCTCACGCTTGAGGTATTCGGCCAATCACAACGCATTGGATAGCTGGCCAATCACAGCACCCCTCGCTTTTTCAGACCGATGAGCTTTGTAAAAATCGACGCGTTTCAAAAAGGCGGGGCATAGAGGAGAAACAATAATGTACAGTATGTGGAAAATAATGTGTTTTTTGAACTTTAAACCGCATAAACACATTTCATTACACCAAATACACAAAATAATGTTCTTTTTAGCAGCATCATATGACCCCTTTAATGTTTCGTTTGTTTGTTTGTTTTACCTAACACATAGAGACACTGATGTTGATGTGTCTGCATTCAAGCATTTCAGTGGGCTTAAATAGATCACCCTTTACAGCAGATTTAGTGACAGTTTTGACCTAAATATGAGTTTCAGTTACAATAATTAATCCTAAAATTCGACATTAGTAACTTACTTTTAGCAGCATCAGTCGCGCGCGCACTCACAAGATCTCCCGGTTCTTACTTGTGAATTCAGTTCACTGGAGACTCGCACTAAACGGTTCATTTGAATCAGTGAGTTTTTCGACTCGAGAACAGCTGCAATCGGTTCATTCTAATTCGTGAATGAATCGTTTGGTGCGATTTGCGAACCGATTTCAAAGGTTCATGGAAAATAATTAGTTCGTTCTCGAATCAGACACCGCTTCTGCGTCTCGGAGCACGTGATATATTATAAGGAGTAACGATATGTTTTATGAAATGTAGTGAAGTAAAAAGTACGATCTTATGCTTTGGAATGTAGTGAAGTAAATGTAAAAGTTACTCAAAATAAAACTACTCCAGTTAAGTACAGATACTTGAAAAATTTACTTAAGTACAGTAACGAAGTAAAAAAATAATTCCCTTTATTTAACTCTTGATGTTTAAGTGTCTGTGGATTGATTAACTATAATTATCTGATGTATGTCGTTTGTTAGCCTATATAATCATAAATAAAGAAACAATGAATTGTCAAACTGACGAAGGCAGATAGCTGAAACGTTTGTCTTTTTATCTCCTGCTTTGATTCCAATAAAAGACTTAAAGAGTGCAGACCGACCTTTGTAATATGTCGTTATTAAAAATCTAAATATAAAATATAAAAATATGTTGTTTAAACGACATAACATCTCTGATGACTGAGAGGAAAAAATATGTATGTGGTAGTAATGCCTTACCATAATACCCCATATAGTGGACAAAACATGACAGACTCAAGCCCTATAAAGTGAGCACACGCTTTCGATGTGCGGGTTTGAGAACACCAAGGAAACACTAAGGAAAAGAGCACTTTCTTTTCGCCTGTTTGGACACTTCAAACAGACGTTTGCACTGCCTGTTTGGTTTACCTGTTTACACGTTCGTAACGTGCGGTTTGTCTGACTCAAAACCATAGACTGTATAAAAACAGCTCAAAACGCACGTATTCGACGCCCATTTCTGTTATGATAAACGCACGCCAAAAACGCGCGTTTTTTGGTGACTCCAAAGCGCGCGTCGACAACGCGCGTTTTTACAGCAACTTACATGTCAAGGACGCACGTTTTGATACAAAAAAACGCACGTTTCCGACACGCGTTTTCCGTGAACCCAAAGTGCACGTTAAGAACGCGCGTTTTTATGGCAAATCACACGTCGAGGACGCGCGTTTTGCTGTCAAATCGCACGCTTTTGACGCGTCAGTGTACAATCAGACGCCGGACCAGGCGTATATGAATACTCTGGCTTGCCATAGGCCGCAGCGCGCTCTAACGGAGGAAATACTCCTGTCTCCACTCTGGCTGCGATTTAATCAGCTATCAGGACAAGAAAAGGATGGATATCTCCTTTTTTTCTTTGGAGTAGCCCAACTCTGTGACAATAGAGTCAAATTCAGTTAAGTCCTTTGTTGTAGGCTATTTTTTGCCATAGCAAACAATCTCATTCGGCAACACTTTAGAATACAGTTCCATCATTAATGAATAACTACACAAGAACACATGAGTAACGCAATATTAGCATTCTAGTAATTACTAGTATCTAACAAGAAACTCTGATTGATGAATTAGTAAGTAATAGTGTTTAGTCGAATTTGGTAGTTTACTATTAGCTAATCAGTAACTACTATTTTTTCATACCTCCCCAAGAACTACTAAGAACTACTGTATACAGGTTCATAATTAATATGAGTAATGCATAATGTATAAGTAATTCTAAAGTGAAGGTCACAACCCACTAGTAATGATACGAAATAGAATACCAAATTCTTCAGAAGGAATTACTAATTATTTGGATCAGTATTCTAAATTCAATAACATGGTAATTCTCTAGTAGCCTAACGACTGAAATCTTTGTAAGCTTTTGAAGGTTTTGTGAAGTATTGGACAGTAATTATTCAGGTGGTACTACATCCTTCTTAAGGAATTACTAATTTTTTTGGATCAGTATTCTAAAGTGAAAATCATGATAACTCCCTAGTAATTACTGAAATCATTGTAAACTGGTTTTTGTAAGGTTCTGGTTAGCAATTCATTTTGCTAGATTTGGTAACACTTAAATCATTACTAGTGGGTTACCGTGAACTTCACTTTAGAATACTGATAAAAATAATTAGTAATTTCTTCAGAAGGATGTAGTAACACTTGAGTCATTACTATCTAAAACCTTTCATATATCTCAAAAGTTTACAATGACGTTTAAGGAATATTTGATTTAAAATTAGCCAATATTTCACTTTAGAATACTGATCCAAGTAATTAGTATTTCCTTTAGAAGGATTTGGTAATACTTGAGTTATTACTAGTGGGTTACCATAATCTTCACTTTAGAATTAATACATTATGCATAATTAACATTTATTATTAACTTGTATACAGTAGTTCTTAGAAGTTCTCCAGGATATATGAAAAAATATTGATGAGCTACCAGTTTCAACTGAGCGCTATTATGTACTAAATAGTTAATCAGTTTCTTGTTAGTTAATAGTAGTTACTAGAATGTAAATAGTGTATTAGTCATTTGTTCTTGTGTAGTTATTCATTAACGATGGAATAGTAGTCTAAAATGTTACCGCTCATTCTGATGTCAGTCAAATAGGAAATAACATAAATTAGCTTTGAAAGTTTTGTTCTGGGTGATGATTGGATGTCATTCTTAATTTATTCTTTTATGTCACCCCAGGGTTACTTTTTGTTCTATTAATAAATCATTCAATCGTTTTAAATACATAGTACACTGCATTAAAGCTTTGGTGTCTATTTAATTTTCAGTGTGACTTTTTAACTTTCCCTCCAAAATTAATTTATAAAGTGTTACTTTGCAAATGAATGAAACACCGATGTCATTAACACTGTGCCAAAGTATGAAAGCTTGTTTTCTTTAAAAACAGTCAATTTAATTTCATTTGTTCAAAACTGACTGCTATCTAACAAGGCTTATCCAAGTTTTTCTTCAAAAACTAATGTCACACATCATCATACATAATATCATAATTTACTTGAATGT